GCATTCTCATGCTGGAAAATTAACTTCCAGTTTCCAGCATGCATATACGCACCGGCCAGCAAGTCTTCTGGTTACTGGCACACATGCGCATGTAACGATCAGCTGGCTGGCGCACACTCATGCCAGGAAATGGAAGACCAGCTCTTCCACTTTCCGGCACTGCTGCATGCACAAAGCCAGCTGATTGTCGTGTGCGGATGTGTACCAGAAACCTGGAAGAGGAATGGGCGCTACCGCACGTGCCCGGCAACATGGCTCCGCATGCCACTCTAGGCAGGTGTGCTATAGGTTCGCCATCACGAACCTAGAGAAAATCCCAAAGTGCCTCCTGAAATTACTCTATGCTATCTAATAGAAAGGCTGGCCTCATATGCATCTTACAGAACTGTAGTCGTCGCAAGGAGTTCTGGAAGTGTTGACTACATGAATCTGATGCAGCAGTTAGCTTTTAATGGTTGTGGCAAGATAGTCCAGATCACTGTCTCACCTGCAACTCCAGTTCTCCAGGCTTCTAGAGCAATATTCATCCCTTGCTCAGTTCAGCATATGGCAGTATATTTTCAAACTTGGTAGCTTGAAGATGAATGGACTTCAACTCCCAGAATTTTCAGCCAGCATGCTGGGAATTGAAGTCAACCCATCTTAAAGTTGTCAAGTTTGAGAAATACCAGCATGTGTTGTCTTTAATTAAGCTCTCCCCCACTCTCTTTCTCTCAGTGGTGGATTGCCAATTTTTTTACCACTGGTTCAGACGCAGAAGCATCCAGGCCAGTGGGCAGAGCCTCCCACCACCGCTACTACCAGTTGGCCTGATCCGGGCTGAACTGGGAGTAACCCCCCTCTGCTTTCTCTCTGTAATACAGTTTCCTCTGCTTATTAATACAATTTGGTGGGTCTTTTGTGGTGTCCAACTGATGGTAAAGAAGATTTTAATTTGTGGAAAGTTATCTCTGTTGCTTATTACTCTGTTCTGCATATCGTATCATATTGTGAGTATTTTTCTGTTTATGACACCCTTGTGCTGACAAATATTGGCATAAGAATGATAAAGAATGCAGGTATTGCATTGCCATTAATGTATAGTATTTCTTTTATACTGTACCAGTTTCATTTTTAAGTATATGATATCTTTGTACAGCTGCAGTTCATTGAAATAAAGTACTCTCTTCCTAATACACAGTTCAGTTTCTTCTGTCCATAGAATTTTAACGACATGCAGAGGGGGAAAAGAGGGGAGGGAAGAAACATGCAGATTTATTCTACTCTTGTCATTTTGTTTTAATTTGTTTTAATTTGTTCCCTGCCATTGATGTCCTTAGGATGTGGCCAGAACAGTTAACACTGTGGCCATGAATGGTGGATTCAAAGCTTTCAGTGATGGGTTGCTAATTTTTTTACTACTGGTTCGGGCGCGCTCCTGTGTGCGACGCTCCTATGCATGCGCAGAAGCTTCTGTGCATGCACAAAAGCGTCCAGGAGGGTGGACAGAGCCTCCCGCCGCTGCTACTACTGCTTCGCCCAATCCAGGGCAAACCGGCAGCAACCCTCCTCTGGTATCTTTGCTATAAAACTTTGGGGGCAGAAGAGATATCAGAAGTACAGGTAGTCCTTTATTTAGGACCACAATTGAGCCCAATATTTCTGTTGCTATGTGAAAAGGTTGTTAAGTGAATCCTGCCTTTTTATGACCTTTCTTGCCTCATTTGTTAAGTGAATCATTGCAGTTGTTAAGATAGTAACATGGTTGTTAATGAATCTGTCTTCCCTATTGACTTTGCTTGTCAAAAGGTCACAAAAGGAGATCCCATGATTCCGGGATACTACAACAGTCATACATGTGAACCAGTTGTCAAGTGTCCAAATTTTGATCACGTGACCATGGGGATGCCACAATGGTCGTAAATGTGAAAAGCAGTCATAGGTCATTTTTTTCTGTGACATAACTCCTTGGAGTCACTTAATGAATTGTAAGTTGAGAACTACCTGTAGACCCGTTTGGTTATCAGCTTTTTGAGTGTCCCTTAAAGTCCAGATTTATTTTGACATTTAATTACAACATTCTGTTTTGTTTGTTGTAACCTTTTCATTCAAAGATATAAGCCATGTGAGACCTGTGGAATTGGACTGGCTGTCATGCCTTTTCTTTTTGGACTTCAGACCTGCCACACTTTCTATGTGGGAAAATGGGAGGGGGGATTATATGGAGTTGGGTGATATGTAGCCATAACAACATTATTCTTAGAAAGCCAAGGTCATCTTTGTCTCTGCACCTCCCCGGATCTGGATGGGAAGAATCTGTCTTCGTGGCAGTGGAAGATTGGACCATGTGATGAACTTGTGGGTGTTGGGGCAGGATCTTGAACTTTCAACTGGGTGAGGAAAACTGGAAGCTTTCAGATTTGGGTTTTCCCAGATGTGCCAACATGGCTCTTTTAATAAATTGCAACTTCTAGGAACTTCTAGCCTTGGAGTGTTATTTGTTTGAGGATGCTATTTGGAACCCTGACACTGGCATATAAACCCAAGTAAATAAGGGAACAATGAATGAATGGTTCCTCACCCAAAAAGTCCCTTGCTCTCATTATGACCCACTTATTTTGGACAAGATTTGATCTGTTGACCTCCAGTTGGCTACAAATCTTTGTGCAAGGCATTGCTAAAAGGCAATTTGAGGGCTGTTAGCTGTTGCATGGGTAGCTGTGGGGAAACCTCAAGGCACAGACAGGATGATGATATTGCCAAGTCTCCAGTTTCCAGAGAAAAAGGGATTTTAAATTAAATTGTTTAGATAATAGTCAATAGACATAACTGAATAGAATTATGTTTACTGAGACACAAGCAGAACATTAACTGTTGTTTTAATTTTTAGTGAATCATCCATTCGCTTATTTCTTTGTGTGTTTTCTCCATTATCTGTTAATATTCCTGAATGCATGAAAGAAGGATTTCAAGAAAACTGCCAGTTGTGTACAAAAGTACTTTTCTTATTTCAGATGTCAAATTGCTACAACAGAAACACATTTTTTATGATCAACCTTGTTTGAAATGTCTCCACTAGATGGCAGCAACACAACTTAAAATTCATCCCTTGTGTTGAGCTTGGGCCAATTTGAATTTCTTCCAGAATTTAAATCTTTACAGTAATTTGAAAATCAACAGTAAAATGAGATCCTAATAAAAACAACTCTTTTAAAAGCAAATTGGATCAAAACCAAGAAAAATGTATACTGATAATGAATTGTCCTACAAATGAGTGAAATGACAGTGACAAAACTCAGATAAGTATGATAATTGGAACAATAAATTGTATTTCATATGTTGCATTTTGAATTTTATTTCAAGTGAAACTACCGCCAAAAGTTAAAGTTGCATGCAACCCAGCAAAAAAAAAAAAAAAAAAAAAAACCCACAAGAAAAAATACTGAGTAGCAGCTCTCTAAATATTGCATTGCTGATTTATATACATGTTAAATATTACATATTTTAATATCTATATGTTGTAAATTTCCTTCAGAAGATCAAGGCAGCATACACAACATTCCCTC